ATATATATATTTAAAAAAAAAAAAAGTGATCCATAGCTGGATGTGGATGTTATAACTAGTAGAGAAGAAGCAAAACAGTTATACTAACAGTAATCTATACATGCAAATAGTTAAGTAGAGTCATAGAAGATATTAAAAGAGCTTAATTGCATTTTAAGATATGAATGCTAGAATGTGTGAACTAGAAAACACACTGAGTGGGACTAATAGATAAGGTTTATCAGAATAATGACTAAACTCTACAAGATGAGGCACAGAGAACAGCAACAACAAAAATGTAATAAAGAAAATAAAGTATCAACAGTGTCCTTTAGGGGAAGGAACAAAATATATGTGGTTTTCATAGTCAGATTTTCCCAAATTTAATTAAAACTATAAACCTATAGATTCAAGAATGGCAACAAAACTGTAGTATAAAAATAGTGGGAAAATATAGCAGGACCCAGTTTATTCTAACTTCTCTAGTTTAATACTAAGTCATAAAAGTAGAGGAGAAAATGCTACAAAGAGAAATAAGGACAGATCATTTTTCAGAAACAGTTTATGCTAGAATGCTCCCTTAAGATTCTAATTCTGGAAAAAGAAAAAAAAGTCAAAAGAATATTCCATTAGCAGTAAATTGATGATTTGAATAAAAATAAGAATACTGGTGTAACTCTGATAAATTGTATATTATGGTGTATGCATCACTAAAATACAAAATCAGAACTAGAGCTAATAATTCTCTAAGAGCCACAATACTCAAAAAAGAGCAAAGAAAAAAAATAGATCAAAAGGTAAGGTTCAGGAATTTCACTTCTCTCAATATTTGATTGACAAGGACACAAAAATTTAGATGACAGAGAAGATATGAACAACATAAGCCCTTAACTTGACCTGATGGACCTGTAAGGAATACTTCAACCAACAGAATACACACTCTTTTCAAGTGTAGATGGAATGTCTACCAAAATAAACTAGTTGAGGCCATAAAACAGGCTCAATAAATTTAAACTCCAGTCATCTGTTCTCTAACCAAAATGAAATTAAATTAGAAATCTTTGGCAGGAAGATCACTAAAATCCTGAAATATTTGAAATTAAATATATTTTAAACAACAGACATATCAAAGGAAAAATTAAAATTGAACATAGAAATCAATTTTAACAGTGTAAATTAAAACATCAAAATATAGGATGCTACTAAAATTATTTAGGAGAAATTTTAAGAATTATATGATGAAACTAGTTTAAAGAAGATACTTTCCACCTTAAGATGCTAGAAAGGGAAAAACAAATTAAAAGGAAAATAAAAATAACATAAGAATGGAGATTTAAAAACTGGCAAATAGAGAAAATAACTGGAATTAAAAGATGTTTTTGTTAGAAGATAGCAAAATTGTTTTAAAAAAACAGACTGCAAAATAAGGGGAAAAGTACTATTCTTGGGTATGAAAAAAAATCAACATTCCACAGATAGGAAAGGGGAATGTAAATTAACATCATGCAAAATTACTTTATGTAAGGAATGTATTCCTTGAAAAACACAAACTACCAAAAGTTTAATCAAGAATAAACAAATAACTAGAATAGCCCTATATACATGACACAAATTAAATTTGTACTTAAAAACATCCCTACAAAGAAAATTCTAGGTCTAGATGGGTTGAGTTGTGAAACTGAATAAATATATAAGAAAGATGTAATATCAGCTCTTTATATAAGCATCCAGCTAATTAAAAAGTAGGACATACCCTATAACTCCTTTTTGGTATCAATATTTTGCTGCTAATAATATCTATTAAAAACACTAAAATGGTGGCATAATATAAAATATTCCTGATGAACACAGATGCAAAATTCCTGACAAAGATTTATCAAACAAATCAACAATGTAAAGCAAAATGCCTAATGACTTAGTTTATCCCAGCAATGGCCTAGATGGTTTAACATTTCAAAAATCAATCACTGTATTCCTCATAATCACAAGTGAGAAAGGGAAAAGAGGTGAGAGAAGGGGAAAAATTCATATGGCTATTGTATGGCCACATAACAACCATTTGCCAAAACCTAACATTCTGCCCTTATAAAAGACTCTCAGCAACCTACCAGAACAACTATTTTGATAAAAATGTCTTTAAAAGTTTGATAATAAACATGTTTGATAGCAAAAGACTGAATGTTTATCATTTAAGGTCAGGAATGAGACAATTCTTGCCCCTAACTCTCTTCTTAAAACAAAACAAAACAAAACAAAACAAAAAAACTGTAATACAACTTGAGGTTTGGGTTTAGTGAGATGTCCCATAGTTACCCCCAACACAGCTTGTGGCACACAGCAAGACTTGGCGATTAAAGCACAAGGAGAGTAGGTACACAGAAAAAAAAAAAAAAAAAGAACTAGGCATCAAGATAAAGAAAACACAGGAAAACATTAGCAATTTGAGGGGCACATACTGTTGCCTTACTGGTCATTCAGGTTTTTTGTGTGATTGGAAAAAATACTTAGGCATCAGCCACATAATGAGCTTTCAGTCACTATCAATCTCTACAGTATAATTTTCCACTGTACTCAACTTAGTCTCTTACTCGACTTAGTCTCTTACTTTATTAATCACGACCCCATGGTTATAAAATCCAATGGTAAGGTTGCATTTGCACAATAACAAAATTGTTTAATGATACATTTCTTAGAATAGATCCATTTGTTATGTGACACTTATGTGTATAATAAAAAGTTCTAGGAAGTTCAGAAATAGAATCAAACATGTACAGACAACTAATTTGGGGCTAAAATGTATGCATTCAATGCAGTGGAGATAGAATGTTTTCAACAAAGGGTTCAAGGAAAATTGGATAAAAACATGTGAAAATAGACATTCATGTCAAAACATCTGGCTCTGTTTATGTAGAAGGAACTGAACCCAAAATTGTCCTCTTATTTTTAGATTCAAAAATCATTTGAGGAACCAAACTTGAAATTCCAGATGCCCACAATTGAAAGATCTACTATGGCTAGAAATTTTTACCTCTTCCCAGGCAACTAAAATTATTAGCTACCTACTGATGTTAGCAAATAGGGAAAGGACTAGAGTACAAGACAGAATAGTACAGGCTGAGTCTTCAGTGGGCTACCTATTATTATCTATTTATTCTATTGTTTATCTCTCTCTTCCTAATATCTATCCAACAAGCGTGTTTTAGTCATAGTAACTGGTGTTAGTGTTGCTACTGCCATAAATAACTCAAAAATGAGAATAACTGTACAATTAGGTCTACACTATATACAATTTGATACCAGAACAAAATATCTGGTATTTAGTGCAGAAGGCACAACAAGCAAAATGTAAGTCTCATACAACTGAGAAGAAACAGATCAGAATTTAAGGATGCTGAGTTAATTTACTAAAAATGGGGCCAAAAGTATACGATAGAGAAAGGAAAGTTGAGAAAATTGTACAGCCATATGCAAAATAATGAAACTAGACAATTGGTAGAGAAAAATTATTTCAAATGGGTCCAAGTTTTGAAGGTAAGACCAGGAGCCATGATATATATAGAAGAAACAGCAAAACACACTAACATTGGTTTCAGTGCTATGTTTTGGGATTACACTTCAACAGCAAGGGAAACAAAAGCTAAAGTAAATAAATGGAACTATCTCAAGTTAAAAAGTTTCTGCACCACCGAGAAAACTAAAACAGAAAGATAAACAATGGTGGTATCACTAATATGTGGAAATATAAAGTAACTAAATTAATAAAGACAAACTTAAAAACTAACCCTTGACAGCTGAACACAGAAGTGAGACACCAAAGGAGTAAGGAGTTGGGAGGGGAAAAAACAAAGAGGTAAAGAACCACAGTGGCCCGTGGTGGTAGAATATGGGGAGTAATGGTGAGTGCACTATGGTGCTCATACCTGTTGGGGGTACTATGATATTGCCTCAATTAAAAATAGGTTGATATTACCACTATGGAAAACTGTTCACAGGTTTCTCAAACTGCTAAAAATAGAGTGTCCATATGATCCAGCAATCTCACTCCTAGGTATCTACCCAAAAGACACAAAAACACTGATTCAAAAAGACATCTGCACCCCTATGTTTATTGCTACTTTATTTATAATAGGAGAGACATGGAATAAACCCAAATGCCCAAAAGTAGATGACTGGATTAAAAAGATGTGGCATATATAAATGATAGCATATGATCCAGCAATCTCACTCCTAGGTATCTACCCAAAAGACACAAAAACACTGATTCAAAAAGACATCTGCATCCCTATGTTTATTGCTACTTTATTTATAATAGGAGAGACATGGAATAAACCCAAATGCCCAAAAGTAGATGACTGGATTAAAAAGATGTGGCATATATAAATGATAGAATATTATTCAGCAATCAAAAAAAGACTAACTCATGCCTTTTGCAACAACATGGATGGAACTAGAAGGAATCTTACTTAGTGAAATAAGCAGGAGCATAAAGGATCAGGAGAGAGGGTTTAATAATAATGAACAACTATATACCAGAGACATTTTACTGGGGTGAAAACAAAGACATTTACTGGGGAATGGGATCAAAATAGGGAGAGGGAAATGCACAGGACTATGGTGATGGCACATGGGTGAATTGGTGTTGGGAAGTCCACAGGGATTACAACTGAGATGAAAAAAAGGCACAAAATAATGTAAAAATAAACTATAATAATAATAAAATAGTTTGTTGATGTTGTTGTTGTTTAAGACACCCTAGCAAATGGGAGAACATATTTGCACTTTGTACTTCTGACAAGAAGCTAAGATAATATCCAAGATCTAAAAAAAAAAAACAAACCTCATATAACTATTTGTATGTGTGTAGTTGTGTAACAAATAACACACATACAATATATGCACTTCTCTAGAAAGACATATAGGTGACACATAGTCACATGAAAAGTGCTTAGCACTTATCAGGGAATTGTAACTCAGAACCTCAATGAGATTTCACCTCATACTAGAGAGAATAGCCAACTTCAAAAAGGTGGACCTAATGTTGGTGAGGGTGTGGAGTGTAGAGAGAAACTAATGCTCATAACTGTTTGTGGGGTATAGACTGATCCTGCTCCTATTGAAAAGAGTATGGAGATTTCTCAAAATATTATAAATATCTGCCATATGATCCAGCAGTTCTACGCCTAGGTATTGATCTGAAGGGTACAGAAACACTAATTCAAGTTTTATGCCTAGGTATCGATCTGAAGGATACAGAAATACTAATTCAAAGACAGACATGCACTCCTATGTTCATGGCAGCATTGTTTCTAATAGTCAAGCTATGGAAACAATCTAAGTGCCCAAATCCAAATAAGTGGATTAGGAAGATGTGGCATATCTACATAATGGAACACCACTAAGCTATAATAAGAGATGCAATCTCATCATTTGTGAAAATAGAGAGGATTATATTAAGTGAAATAAGAAAGAAGGAGAAAGATAAATACTGGATAATTTCATTCCTAAGTGTAGAAAGGGACAAAATCCAGCCAAAACACATCTATTACTCATTTTGAGTTGATTTTTGTGTTTGGTGTGAGGTAGTAGTCTATTTTCATTTTTTTTTTTTT